ACAAAGACAATTAATTTCTAATCAAAAAGAACGCAGCGAACTCCGAGGAAAAGTTGAATCGTTAAGCGATAAGGTAAAAGTTGAAAGTATGGGTCATAAAACATACTTTCTTCTAAATATTTGTTATATGAAGTAATATTGATATTTGTGATATTTAATTTTAATCATTACCAGATTCGCCAGTTAGAATCAGAAAAGTTAAATCTGGAACGCAATATTCCACAGCAAGATACATACCAGTACGGTTCATTAAATAGGAAACAATCAGAGTCTAAGCAGCAAAAAGAAATTTCGAGCGCCCGAGACGCATCTTCCCACTTAGATCATAATTATCTCAACCAAGAAAATAGAGAACTTCGCCAGAAAATTAGAAAACTGGAGGCACAGCTTGCCGAAAAGGTAATAATACATATAGTAATAAGACAATATTCTAACTAACACTATTCAAATATAAAATGATATGAGATATAATTATTGTACTCGTCTTGGAGTTATGGTAAAGAACATGAGTTGGCAATCCTTAGTACCTGGTTCTACTCGAGGTTTTTCAATTTAGGCGATCTCGGTATCAAGCTGTAAGATACCAGATTTTCACTTTAGATCATATATTTCAAATATGATTGTAGTTTTGTTACGTAGTTATAGAATTTATTAAAACTTTCCTTCGATAATTCAGGTTGTTGGGTTATAATTTAACCCTTGTTGCTGTGGACTGTATTAAATACTGATTTGCTTGTATATTATGTATTTGTTGCAGTTTTTAATTACAATCACTGGTTTGTTACTAAGTTATAATGAAAGAAAATATATTTATTTTTATTGGTTATTTACATGTTGTTAAGCGGACCTTTCTTTTAAAAGTGAACAACTAGTTCAATTAAAACACTCCGCTACCTCCTCTACCAGGGGTAGCAACCATTCCGTGTAAAGTTGAATGCCCTGAAGTTTGTCACCTTCATGGCCAATATAATAAAACGAAAAGACGTCCGAACAATGATCTCAAGTGAAAATAAATTTTCGGGGATATTAGAGTAGATATAGATAAACAAATATAATCGCCATACAGAGGAAAATATTTAACCCCTGAGTTGCCTTCTCGTGAAATACTAGGTTAAGACACCAAACAAACAACTTAAAGACAAGTTTTGATTCTATTGATAAAAATAAAAAATGTATATTATTTTTATTTTAGGAAGCAGAGCTGGCACGTTTGCGTAGCCGTTTGTATGATGAACAACATTTATTCGACAGTAAATCAGAAAAAAATCGCGTTCTACAATCTCAAGCAGAAAGATTATTAGAATCTAGAGAGCAGTCTCATAAACAACACATACTACGACTGGAAAATCAGGTGCATGAACATATATAATATTTCCAATATGAAAAATATATGAAAAAATCTGTTTGTCGCAGATATCGCTTCTGAAGGAGCAGCTAGCGCAGGAAGCAAAACGTCGTCAAATGTATGTACTGCGAAGCACTAAGGCAAGCCGCGAGATGCAGCAATTGCGCCAAACTTTGGGAGATTCTCTACGCCACGTCAGCCAAGAGCCAATCGACGCAATGTTATTAGAACACGAAGCTAGAAGGCTAGAATTTTATTATTATACGGGGTGTCCCAGAACTCAACGTCAAGCAGAAATAGATTAACAAATAGTCTTAGTTATAGAAATCTTGGGGCAACTGTTTCATTATTTTAGAACCGTAGTCCTAGAAATATTATTCATGGTTCCAAAGTTCAAATGGACAAAAATAATCACAAATTAACATCACTGTAACCAAAAATGATTACGGTTTAACCAAAGTTTTACAAAAAAAGCTCATAGTATTCAATATATGGGATTTTTTTCAAATTTTTTTCTTGATAGTTACAATTAATACTGGCACCCCGTTTCGTTGAGTTCTGGAACACCTTGCATATCAAAATTTTTCTTTTCCATTACTAAATTACTCTATGTCTTTTCAGACTGGACAGTGCAGTTTCGCTGAGTCTTCCATCAACAGACCAAAATACAGATTATAACATCACCCCAAAAGATTAATAAAGATGATAAGAATTCTGAAATTTATAAAACGTAGCATAAATGAAAAATTGTAGGATTTTTATGGTATAAGATAGTTCAAAATACCACTGCCATTTAGATATTTTCACGAATGTCATCACACCAAAACGCATATCAGACATTGCACTTAACTGTAACATTAATCGCTACTTAGATCAACGATAGTAGATAAGAAAAAAAAGATATACATGTGTTAATTCTGCTCATTGTGAATTAACAAAACGATTCTAGTCAATTCTAAGTTATTATAGTTATTTTGTGCTCATTGTACACAACAAATTGTTCATTTTAACAATTTCAAAGACAAATTTTCTTTTGAACGCGAAAATCTACGATTATCAAAACATGTCTAACTCCTTTCAGCAAAATTTAATTTTAAACCGTCGTGTAATCTATGTCATTGAATATTCGCTGTGCTTGATTTTATATTTATATATTATTATAAAATTATGAATTATTGTAAGTTCATATTATACGCAAGTCCCATTGTTTTTATTTAGTTAACACATATATGTACTATTTATTGTTATAAAGATATAATTTATCTGTTAATATTTATTTTGTTTAAATCAATAAATCTATATTAATTTTGTGATGAATTTATTAAGTGTTTTATCTAAATTTCGCAATTTCTTATAATCGAAAGAAAAACTTCAATATTTTGAAAAGAAAACCTCGAATATTTGATTGTGAGGCATCCTATTAAATAAAATATCATAAAATAAAACGAGTTTAATAAGAAAATAACTGTGCCAAACCTTAATAAAAGCTCAATTATCTTCCTTCCATCATTTTGTAAGTGTCTTGTATTTACAATATTATTTTCTATATTTTCTGTATCCTGAAAATAAAAAAAAAATCATTAGTTTATTTTGTAATAGTAGCATAAATTATGATTGTTCTGAATTACATTATATATATTTTTTTAAATTACATTGATCTTGTATACGTAATACCTATTGGTAGGAAATAAAAAAACAATTTTAAGTTAACAAATAATTTATTAACTAGATAACATTCAATTAAAAACTTTATAATATATATACTAAGCATAATGCATTTATCATTATAATGATATGTTTTAGAACTTCATGTCCAAACAATTGGAACTATTTTGATTTGCAAGATGATTTGAACGCCTAATCGCACAGTGAATACATGACATTTTGATAGTATTTAGTAGCATTTTATATGAAAATTGGAACGTAACATAGCCTTGCTATAACATTGATCTATTGCTAAGTCCGATACAATAATAGTAGTAGTAGTTATCCATAAATAATGGATAGCTTTCGATAAATATGGTTTCATTAGATTCATAACCACAAAATCAACTACAGATTAAAAATGACTCTCCTTTGATACTTTGCTTTTATATGTGAATGCATTGAAATAATAGCCATCGTATGTGCAAAGTTCGTAGAATTTAATCCCATACTTATTTTTTTGCAGCATTATTGACTCATCTAATGGTAAACTTTCTCTAGGCTTTATATGCGACTTGAAACGAACCATTTACAAGTTTCAGAAAATTAAAATCCTTAGATAGTCTGCCATTTATTGCTACGGATTCACAGTTGGATGGTAATATGATTAATTGCTTGACCAGTTTGAACAAACTTCTGGACTGCAACAAACGCAGACCAAAAAATACTTCCATTTCATCAAGTTTCGTTTTTTTGAAATCTCTGTAATTTGTTCGCATATTTATTTGTGCAGCTAATAATTGAATCCATTATTTTCTGATTCCAAATTTTATCGAAAATCTCCTTCGGCGTTTTACAGTTTATAACATCATTAGCTATACCCACTGAAGACCAACCAAAGTCTTGAATATCTGTAGTATCTTCATTCCACAGCGTGTCTGAGTTATGCATCTCATTTTCAATATTGGCATTGGCAGTATTCTCCAAATCAGAAGATGATGATGTTGAAAAATTAGGGGTACTCTTCCGTGCATTTTCATTCAATAAATCCTAGTCCAAAACCTATCACAAAATTCTTCTTTAAATTCATTTCTTTCATTTCCAATTATTTCAATAATACATTTACCTGTATCTTCATCTAAATCAGTGTCACTGAAAAATTCCAAAACCCGTCTACGCTTCTTATATGAAATCATTTATATTCATAAATCGAAAAACTGGTGTTTTCACTTTGATCTCAAATATCACAGTAAACCATTGTACCATAAAGAATTTTTGCGACGCTTTGATTGTTTTTCACAACAATACCTTGTGCGAAATTGTCGTAAATCCATTGGCCGATGCAAATGCTATAGCATCCACGTCATTATGATAAGATGATACAAAAATACCTAAAGAATCAGTTATTCATTACCTTGACAGGTAAAATAATTACAAAAACGTAAGGTTATAAAAGATAATTGACTTGATAATTTGAATGCTATAGCATTCATGCCATGCTGCACCACAATGAAAATGAATGCTATAGCATTCGAGTCCGCGAACGTGTTAAGATAATGCAATCGGTTAAAATGGCGTTTCGAGACGATTCAGCTCAGTTTAGTTCAGTTCTGACAGTTCGGTTTTTCGTATTCGTATTCGGGCGAGCAGAAACGTAGAGCGTCCGTAGCATCATCCGTAGTCGCAGTCGTAGCCGTAGTTCGTAGCGGCCATAGTGAGAGAGCGCAGATCGGTGCGAAGCGATGATGCCAATGCCTGCGCTGTATAAAGCACTCACGAAAAATACAAGCATTTTCAAGATATTGATTTTTCAGAAACATTCGTTGAACCAATCACGAAGTTGTGAATATTTTTATAGGGTGAGGTTTTGATGGTGTATTCTGTCAGTTAAGGATTTTTATGGAACAAAATGTATTAAAATAAGTTGTGACTGCGTTAGTTAAAGTGTCTGTGATATAGTTTCGTGACAATTAGTACATGGTTTGTGATAATTTCTACAGTAAAAGCATCAATGCAAGTTGCTACATTATTTAGGGAAACGGCTACCCTTCTCGGTGCTAGTATGGAACCAGGAGGAGGCCTGCAAGATGTTCAAGGAATGCCAATGGGCATGAATTCAAATGAAAACATGCCCGTATTAGACACACAAATGCATCATCCTTATAAAATGTGAGATATCTTTGTTTACAATTTATCTTATACGCTTTATATCAACTGTCATTATGTCATTGCTCCGAATTGTGTTGACATAGCACATACTGATAAGCAAAAGCTCATATCGGATTTTCAAGATATTTACATTGTTACAGTTCATTATTTAACAATCTTTATGCAAAATATCTTTTCTAAAAGGGTGTACACGTATGTAAACATATATACTCTAACAGAATCATTTTAGAAGACTCTAGAAAATATAGTACCTGTATGTATACATACCTACATACATATGTATATATATATATATATATATATATATATATATATATGTGTGTGTGTGTATGTGTGTTTCTTTTTCTAGTGTTTTCCACCATAACAATTTTAATAAAAATATAATAATATATAATTATAAATACATATCTGAGTATACACACTATATATATATATATATATATATATATATATATATATATATATATATCTATATATCTATATATATATTAAAATTTTGATAATTTGGATGTTGAGATATGTGAGAATCAGTCTTCAGGGCAATACATCAATTAAAAACTTGTATGACTTTTAAAACATTTTTATTGTTTCCATACGTTTCGACACATTGTTTCGTGCCATATTCAATGGACTCTAGTTTGAAAGCACAGATAGAAATTATTAATTAAAACTAATTTATAAGAAATTTTCTTATAAATTAGTTTTAATTAATAATTTTTATCTGTGCTTTCAAACTAGAGTCCACTGAAGATGACACAAAACAATGTGTCGAAACGTATGGAAACAATAAAAATGTTATAAGTTCATACAAGTTTTTAATTGATGTATTGCCCTGAAGACTGATTCTCATATATATATATATATATATATATATATATATATATATAAATCCAGAATTTTGCAATAAATTTTATATATGTTTCTTTTCCGAACAATTAATCCAATAAATAAAAAAACAATTAGTTTTTAGTATATGTTTAATTACGTTTCGGAACTATAAACGTTTCACCATCTGACAATTTATTTTTGAAAGAAAAACCTGATGATGAATTGTATCTAGTTCCGAAACGTCGTAATTAAACATCTACAAAAACTAATTGTTTTTTATTTATTAGCATAGATAAAGAAATATATTGTTTATTGGATTATTTGTTCGGAAAAGAATCATATATACATACATACATATACATATATACACACGCATTTATATCAAACAAGTGTTACAGAGTGAGTTTTATTGTTGCCATGTTATAATGATGAGCGAAGTGAAAATGTATTTGTAGTGGCATAAATGGTTCGAAATATTATAAATTTTCAAGCTTCACTCATATTTAGTAAATTTATTTATTAATAATAATAAATTTATATATTATTCAAATAAATTACACGATTTTAGAGATTGTTAGACTTTTATTGCACGTACTCGCGATTAAATTTCCATTTTGCATTATAAATTATAAGATATTTGAAAAAATAAGATCTATTACGTATATGCCGCACAAAACTTTTAGTATTTATAATTTGGTACTCTGCTATTTCATTATTTTAATTTTAAAAGAATTTATTGAAACCTTCAATAATTGTGCCAGAGATACGTTTATTTAACAAACCCATATAATAATTATATTTATTTTAAATATTTATCTATAAATATTTATTTTAAAAATACTCGTATTTATAATTAAACAATTAATTTTGATATTATTATTACATTTAGAAATGACTAAATACGATTTAAATTTATTTGTATTTACAGAATTTTAATTTTGTTGAAGTTTCGCTATACAAATATTTTTACTTTGCAATTATTTAAGGCAATTTAAATGCCCAGATTGCATATAAATATATACTTAAATTTGAGTACATATATTTGAGACGATTTCCCAGGCATCAAACCAAAAACATTTCCTATACTTAAGTAAGCGTATTACATAGATAAATAAGCATGGCGTATTATGCGGGATAGGGACAATTTGTTTCATAGCCGGCGTTTGATGCAAGAAATCGTATTAAGTATGATCGCCTTAACAGAGTGTGTGTGTGCGTGTATTAACCCATTCCACTCGGATGCCGCCGCAAAATTAATATAAATCTCGGAATTCGCAAGTGGAAAGAGTTAAGAATGGTTAATTCCTAAATCTTGGAGAGCATAACATCCAGTAAAAAGAGAAGGTAAAGATTTTAAAGCTATCTTTCCAAATAATAGATCCACTGATGATAGAACTGTCTGAAAATAAAGATGCTTTGAAGTCTTATTCCCTCTTCTTGTTCATTGTTATATAATTACTACTACTACTATTCACATTTATACACTTTCATACAGTTTTCTTTTCAAACTTCTGCTTCCATTCTTCCTGATCCTGAGTTTCGGCTTCCAATTCCCTGTCCTTTCTCCTCTTGTGTAAAGCATCAGTCATATTCATTCTTCTTCTTCCTTGTTCTTCAGTCGTTCTAATTTCAATAATCTGCATTTTTCTTCTTTACAATTCTTTCAGTCATACTTTCAATCATCTTTCCATTATTCTTCTTCCTGGGCTTTCAGTCCTTCTATTTTACCTTCAAAGACGGTCGTGCAGCACCAGAATTCGAAACTCTCAATTTCAAGAGCTATTTTGGAGTTCATATCTCTGATCCGAACAGAGCTATATATATACATTATACACAAACACACACATACACACACACATATATATAAATATATATATATATATATATATATATATATATATATATATCTGGTGCACACTTGCATACTTGTAGTTATAAGTATAATTCGTAACCAGTTAACGTGATTGATGAGTATACTCGTCATGGAGAAGTGGCAGAAATTTGTGTATTGGCGAGTATACTCGTCATGCGCATAAATGTTTGACCATTGCTATTTATATTGCAATGTTTGAAAAATTAAAAACAACACATATTCTCAAAGTAATATTTTACTTCGACTGACGACACAAATTTATATGCACAGCCCAATGCGCCATAGTTAACTGGTCAATTAGCAAAAATACAGCTATATACAACTATCCTGGTAATAAATTTAATGCAACATTCAACTCTCTCCAGAATATCATCCGTGAAAGCTGAGCCACTGGACGATGGCTACGAAACGAGTGCCGATATAACATCGTCTCACCACTTATCAAACGTGAAATGTAAGCACCCCGTCAGCAACAACGACCCTTATAACTTCGTTGACGACGAATTGGCTGACGTTCACGCGAACAACGTTAACCATTCGCAAATGATATCGCCCGTGCACCAGGCACATCAGCGCAACCCCGTTGACATCGAAAACTTGATGCCTAGTCCCAAAAAACGAGGCCGGAAGAAAAAAAATAAACAAGATACAGGGTAAGCAGTAACACCCCGGTGTACATTTATATATATATATATATATATATATATATATATATATATATATATATATATACAGTAACACCCCGGTCAACGCGAAGGCTACGATCCATCAGAGTAGTTTGCCAAAAAGGCATCTAACGTAGTAAGTTGAAAAGTGGATAAATTATTTCTAACACTCCAAGCAAATTTTGAAAAATAAAATAAAATTGCTCTTGAATCATTTCGCTACAAAAGTGTTTCAACACTGCTGTACAATCCGAAATGGTTAATTTCAGAATCTAGTTCCAAACACCATTGAATGTTCTTGCTTTTTATCAAAATCACTATATTTCGATGTCAATATTTTTGTTTCCTTCTTGCTCAGTTAATTGCTTCAAAGCGGGGTATTACTGTATATTATATAATTTGCAAATGTACCTTTTTTCACAAGCTATTGCCTTTTTACAATTTAATTTCTAATTAACTTACTCTGTCATTGTTAATATAATTTACATAATTATATAGTTTTAAGCCTATAAAAATTATGTGCTTTTTGAATTTCGTATTATTATTTTGATTATATTTATTTGGTATATTTTTTGAGTGTTTATAATCTTTCAGTTTAAACAGAAATAAAATTTACTGTTATTATTATTAATGGCAGTATTGCTCACTATATTTCAAAGTGATTCTTGACGTGATTAATTTGTACTCAATACAGTATGGATATTGATGGAATGGTTGTTGGACCAACACCCATCATCAAAGAGAGGAAGAAACATGATCGGTTTAATGGAATGCCAGAGGAAGAGGTATCAAAAAGAACTTTACCCGATCACTTAACTCCCAATTTAGATATTATAATCGTAAGTTAAATGCATTTTAATTAATCCGACCAACAGTATAATCATCACAGCGGTTTATTCAACAGATTGGGATAAATCCAGGACTGTTTGCAGCTTACAAAGGTCACCATTACGCTGGACCGGGAAATCATTTTTGGAAATGTCTGTACCTGTCGGGCTTAACTGCCGAGCAAATGACCGCAGACGAGGATTATAAACTATTACAAATCGGAATAGGTTTCACAAATATGGTTCAAAGGGCAACAAAAGGTAGTGCGGATTTAACACGGAAAGAAATCAAAGAAGGAAGCCAAATACTCTTAGAGAAATTACAACATTTTAAACCAAAGATTGCTGTTTTCAATGGCAAATTGATTTTTGAGGTGTTTTCCGGAAAAAAGGACTTCAATTTTGGACGACAACCTGATCTGGTCGATGGCACTAATACGGTTTGTACAATTCACATATATTTATTTGATAAAAAAACCAAGAACAATTAATTGATTATTAAGAGCGAAGACTGAATAAATTGTTTGTGCGTTTTTTTTTTCATTTTAAAGTCACTCCTTCTATTAATTTATAACCAAATATATATTTATCTTTATGTATATTTATCTGTTTCAGTATATGTGGGTTATGCCATCATCAAGCGCAAGGTGTGCTCAACTTCCACGCGCTGCAGATAAAGTGCCATTCTATGCTGCACTTAAAAAATTTCGAGATTATTTGAATGGTATGGTAGCAAGTATAGACGAATCAGAAATAGTATTCAGTGAATCAAAACTGAAAATGTGTGATGATATTAAAGGAGAGACAGACTTATATCCCGACTGCACTGGAGACTTTATAGATATTAGCAATAATTCTCTAGGAAAAAAAGATCCACTTGGTAAAAAGAAACGTGGGCGGCCCAAAAAAGTTAAGGTCGAAGGAGAAACGCCTAAACAAACACAGCCCCGTAAACCCGCATCATCAGCGAACAATAATTTGCCAAAAAAGAAGAGGGGTCGACCAAAAAAGATCAAACCTGAAGATAGTAGTAGTAACTATATATGCTTAGATCAAAATAATTCATCAATGATGAAATGTTTTTCATCTCCCTTACCGATGCAGTCACCTACAAATTTTTGCCAAATGAACATCAACACAAATAATCATCATAATAATTCATCAACTCCCGGAACACCAGTAGGCTATTCCAATATGAATAATTTGGGCATAACGCATCAGCCCTACACTCAATCGCCGCAGCCACAATCGCAATCTTTCACTCATTCGGATCTATCTTCGGAAATTAGTGCCGCAATATCATCTGAGCACTTGGAATCGCCATCACCAACATCGCCCAGCCTGGGTCCTCCAGATTTCGATCCGCCGACAAATATGCCGACTGAGGACACGACCGAATGCAGATTCTCCAGCCCTGCCCCATCCACGGTCAGTGAGCATCCACCGGCCTCGGCGCCGCAAATTCCACACAGCTATTCAAATTATCGTCCCTATACTAATGAAAACGAAAGCTATTCCCAAGCATCGGCGCAGGGACCGGAACCATCATCGGAATACAAATTGCAAGACGTCACTTCTAAAAGTCTTTCCGGTTTAGAGTCGCTCGTAGATCAAATTCCAAGTATCGCCGATGGTGAAGGCGTAGTTCATAATACAGCTTTAAATAATAATGAAAATAATGATCAATATATACCTAGTGCATATCCAGTTAGCTCATCAATGAACAGTTCAACACCTTCCATCAGCCACTATCCAGCTTCAAATTACGCTATGAGTAGCGCCGGATACGGCAACCTACCCGTCCCATCGAACTCGTTTTCCGTTAGTAGCCTGTCGTCGAATTACAGTCCATTGAATTCGAGTATTCCTCCGTACGGTAACTTGATGGGAACACCTTCGTATATGGATTCTCATGTTCCAGTGCCGGTGACGCCACTATATCCCTACGGCCAGCAGTACGCCGGCTACGGGCACGTCGCGCCGCACGTCCCTCCGTCTTCGATCCACGTACCAGGCTCAAACTATCCATATTATAATACGGCTTACGGCGGCCACACGCAGGCGCCGCCTGCGCCTAGTTATTTGCCTAATATGTTCGACCGTATTAAACCTGATATAGGATATGGTGGTTTTTGATAAATCTTTATACAATAAGTGTTCTAAACTGATGTTCTTATGTCTAATAAATTACTGTTTCTACTCCGATCTACACAGACTTACACAGGGTAAAATGGAGTGATAACTATTGTGTATAATTGGAATCTTTTGATTATTGTTTATAGGCAGAGCCAAATGTGTGCATATATGGACAATGTTATTAAAATGTAATAATTTACGTCAGTGAATGTTTTTAGACTTAAAAAAAAATCCAGTGAAGTTGTATTATATATTCCTCATAGAGTTAAAAAAACTCATTCTGATCCAATAAGTCTTTAATGTTTCATATTCAAAGATAATGTAATGAATTTGAGAAATAAATAATTTGTTCTAATATCTGTGTTCCAATTAATACTCAATTTTAACAGTAAATATACAGTGCTGGTATAAAAATAGACAAATAAATTAATATTTCAAAATACAATTAAAATAGTTGTACATATTTGAATGTACAAATTTATTTTACTTAATATTATACAATGTTATTCAAAGATGTATCAATCATGAAAAACCTGCCTCAATTTATCAAAAATTAATCATTTCTGATAATCCTATAAAAATCTTGTGTATGTACATGCTCTTTTATGAATTTATTTAAAAATGAATTACAAAATGCTTTATTCCATCTAATGTACCAAAATATAATTATATCACAATGAATATATGCGCAATTATGATTTAACAACATTTTTATTGCTACATTCAAATAAAAGCTATGGCAAACTCATTTTTCAAATAAAATTCTTGAATCAAGTACACTAGACAATTTGCTAATTTAAAATGATACACTAATTTAAAATGGTATTTACTAATTTAAAATGATATCAACTAATTTAAAATGATACATACTAATTTAAAATGATATTTACAATTATGTATGACTAATTGATAAAAATAATTCTCACTGGAAACTTGCAATCATAGTGCATTTGACCAATCACTAAAAATAGTCGACTAGTGCTATGTTGTACAAATTCACACAATATAAAAAATATCCCCAATAACATATCAACAGTAAAATATTTTAAATTGCTATATTTTTTTAAATCAATAAAAGGCAAGGATTTTTTTCTACATAAAAATATTAAAATAACCACCTGGGTTTGTACATATTTTTTTAAACATAAAAAAGAAACTTCAAGAAGTTTTTATATCAACAATTTGTCTAAATTATTTTATTTGATTGATTTAAATGCGATATAGACAATCTTACAATATATATTAATGAACTTAATCTGCTTGTACATAATCCCAAAAATAAATTATTATCTCTAAAATGAAGAATCCAAAAAAATGTAGTTTTTCTATTATTATTTTAGATCAAATCAATTGCACATTTTAATAGATGGCAATCCACTAACACAATTATTTATTGTTTGAATAATTTTTCGTAACATAACGATTAATAAAGACACAAGATTTTACACAGCCAAAATCTTAATATTAATAAAACAACGGCTACATTACGAAAATTTTACAAAAACTACATTTTTACAATAATTAAAATATATCTCTATATTGAAAACCTTATGTGTAGCAACTATTTCAAAAATACAAAATATTTTTTGAATTAGAAAATATACACACATATGCTCACATACATACTGAAATCAGCTTTATGTAAGTATCATTTACCAGAAACAATCATACAAAGTTTTAATGTATATATACATACAAGCATGTCATGTATCTCATAGAAGTTCTTTCAATAAATTAAACAAAAACTAAACCAACATGAAAAATATAATAACATTATGAACAATTGAATGCTTCACTTTCCTGAAGACAAAATCACAAAATTTTTGATCATAATGCCAACATATATACAATTTTCTCATTCTATAAATTAAATAAGTTTTAATTTACACTAGGATTTTGCAGTATTCTTAACAGGAAAACAAATATTGAAATGAATAAACTTGTTCTATAACTTTAGTATCTAAACTACTTAAGAATAATAAAAAAATGAATGAAGTATCTCACTTGAAACGTAGATCCTGCAGATCTGAAGTGATGCATCAACCTTTTCAATGCCATAAAAAATCACAAAAGTAAGATTTACTTCTGTATATAAAAAAACAGCACAAAATTTTAAAACTAATAAAGCCAAACATTGTCGTCAAAATGGAACGTTTCCAATTATGCAAATAATTGATTATCGCAATAATTAAGAATAGCATATGACAAAATATTCACATTCATAATCATTACGGCCAAAGGCTAATATCACATTTTGTACAAGGTTTTTATATAAGATACTGATTATCTCTATAAACTTACACGCTTTTTACGTCTAGATGTAGGCTTGAAATGCATGGAAGAAGCTGAATGAATGGATGAAATCCCAGATTGTTTACTTTTACATTTCTGACATGAGAAAATATCTGGAATATTGTTCTTTTTCACTTTTGCACAAGATAAATGGAGCCATGTTAGGCAAATCGAGCACTCTATCATCGGTCTTGCTGCGAAAGGCTTTCCACAATAACATGTAACAGTATTATAGGATTCAACATCAATAGTTTCTAAAAACAGAATAATATATTGTTACTCACCTACTTGTATGAATAAAAAATTACAAAACCTAAAACAAATGATATTCAATAAAGTATTAAGAATAATATGATTTTCATTTATATAAATAACTCTCCATTGAACACAGTCACTATATGCGCATGTTAGAAGATAGTATACACTCACAAAGCTTGTTTATACATTTATTTTATCAGAGTTTCTATAATGCTGAGTGTTCCTATAACAAGTTTTATGAATAAATAAGAAACATATATTAAATCAATATTATTTTCATAGTACAAAATAGATGTAAGCATAAACGTAATATTGAATGCACAAACTATGCATTTTTGAAAAAATAGAATTGATTACATATTGAAATTTGTCAGATTCTGTTATACAGAACTAGTTCGCAAAGCACAAATAATTTGTATGTTGAAAACACAATGCTTCAAAAAGCATTTGTCGCACTGTATCACTTGAAATAAAATTTCAGCTGTCAAACTAAACAAAGTTCACAGACTAACTGATAATAATGAGGCTACTAAGAACTGGAGTCTCTAACATCAAATCATGGCATTGCATACTAAATGTTTAGACCTGTATCTGTCATTACATACCTGATTCATTTCCTGTATCATCATCCAACGACAAGTTCTTATCTTCAGGAATTGAACTGTGAGTAGATTCAGATGTCATACTACCTGAGCTGTCGATTGGACTAATAGCTGAGTGACGTAGTTCCTAAAATAACAAAATTCAATTGACTATTAAATAAATTTTATTACAACAAATTTGTAATTCCTAAGCACAAATTTCGACAATTTGGTTCATTAGCAAGTTCTACTTACCTCTTGCCTAGTCATCTCATAGTTTTCGTGTTCTAATACTATTTGACAGAATGTGTAAAAATCATCACTGGTGCGCGGCCTTTTGTTGTGTGGAACCTAAAATTATTTATGCAAATATTATATTAATCAATATAACTTTCCAAATAGTAGTAAATAGATAAATTAGCCAATTAGAAAAATTACATACAAGTTGTAACAAGTTTATATGAAGCAGTATTTACATCAGATTTGGTAATGTTAGATAAAGTAGATAAATGCAAGAAAATATAAAGTAATATAGATACTACATATACTAAAAGCTACTTACTATGGAGTCCACTTGATCAGTATGGGTGACTTTTGACACTAAAACATTTAAGGCAAACATTAATAAAAAAAAATATCAAGGTCGATACAATGTGTGAATATGCGAATTTCTACGTTATTAAAACGAAAAACGAATTAATAATAAATTCATAATATTAGATAAAATATGTAATGATAGACATCAAAACAAGACAGTTTCAAAAATATATTCAAAAAATTACTTACTAATGAATATAAACGTAAGCCTATTTTATAAATTCACATAAGATACAACAATTTGTGAAAACTTTGATTACTACATCGAAATGCTTGGAAAAAAAAATACTAAGAAAACTTAAAATCCTTAAAATAACCACAACAGTTCTATCACGTAAATATATGGATATCAGTATTGCCAGTGGGCAATGAATTTTATTTCTTGCCTGATGTAGCGGAAAAGTTTTTTTGTAAAAAGATCCCGAGGTAATTCTGTACAACTTGGGCAACCCTAGATAAAAGAATAGAAATTTTTCATGATTGGTTAAATGTCAGCATTGAATGTATGAATTATTTAACATCCTAATTTACATATTCTACTACTGTTTTACAAAAAATTACAGAACCTACATGGGAAAAATATGCTGCACCGCACCAATTCTTTAACAAAAGTGGGTTTAAATGACTAAACATTATTGGGAAGTGTAAGTGATTAAATATTTCATATCCGATTTTAATAACAATATCATTAAGATGTATGTAATTAAGAAATTGCGGATTGTCTACATAATATTTTTACCTTCTGAAGTAATATGTCAACAAGCTTCGCGCCATGTTTAAATTTTATTATAAATACAAATATACACACAAACATTTATATATATTGTTAGCCGACTATTGGCTAATATAAAACAACATAACTCGTACTTTAATCACTGAACATAATTATACATTTATCCACAATAAAACGAAACACATTCTACTGTTTTATACAAAATGCCCACTGATCAAACTAATTCCATGGTACACTATAATAATATTAACTAATATTATAATATATTAAACTATAATAATAATAATAATATACACCCTATAACATATATTTCACTAACAATATATACAAACAATTATATGTTGTTATTCTTGAAAGAACTTTAATTCTTATTACTTACGTTATTTTCACTTCTCTATTATATATCTGTTTATTTAAGCAATTAATTTCTTTCAACTGGCTCAGATACCGGGACCACATCCTAAAATTCTACAACTTTGCCCCCAGCATGTTTTTATACTGCCGTTACCTCAAATACTAAAAGTAATATATTGTGTTATGTAATTGTATAATCAATGAATTTCATATAATTGTTGCAACAATTTCTTTGATACTTCAGATGTTTTACTTTAATTATTATTCATCTACACTTTTTATCCCTGCAACAAATTCTCACTGATAAAATCTGATATTTTTGCCTATTAGATGCACTGTAAGATAAATAGTAATTAGATACAATAAAATATTGTATTGTTTGTTAATACCATCTACAATTTAATACTTACCAAATTAAGTAATAAATTCATATGCAACAAACAAAGTAAATAATTCCAATATTTTCCTGGCAAGTTGTTTTTTTTAAATAATCTCATTTGAGTGTTTCAATTGTGATTGTTGCTTTGATCAACTTCATTTTG